TAAATTAAGTCAGTAGTGTGAGCTAGGTCATAACTACATTAACATGACATTGCATGTCAAACATCACATGACATTATGGTGACATCACAAATCACTAAACTATGCCACTGTCATTTATTATTATGTCACTAAAACCTCTTGATATATTTAGCAAGTGGTAACACCAGTGGCTATATAAATCCATTGTTAAACTACAGTGATGAAATAAGCCGTGGAACTCAGGTGGATTATGACCTCATGAAAACTCAAATAATGGAAATGTAGTTTTATAATCTCTTTTATTCATTACTCTTTTTATAATATACAATGCCTTAAACAATTTTTAAAGATGCCTGAGTCTTCTTGCAGTCCATTCCTTATTGTTTCAAAAGCTGAAAATTACTTCTCTTACTACAAATCTTGCATCTGTTCAGAATTTCTATGTTATATGCTTTCACCCCATTTACTGTGTTCTGAAGAGTTTAGAACAAATGATATGCACACATTGGATTATAAACCCCACACAGCTCATAGTATCAGTGTTGATTATAATTCATGAATCCAATTTAAAACTTCTAATCCATCTTGGATTGCTGCATTAATAACAAAATATGACAGCATTTCTTTCAATATGTATAGCATTGACGTGATCAAAGTGTTTCTATGCAATCAAGATGTGTGATCCAACTGGATTACTCATGGTGCTTTGTAATAGGGAATAATAGAACCTTTTTAGGATTACCATTAAAAATAATCTATTAAATGGCTATAGTACCTATATACAAAATGATCCTGACTACTTTAAAACAAGTACAGATTAAGGTTCTGATTCTGTGTTGGAATCCACGAGTGCACACCCTGTGTCCATGCAGAGTCCTGATACTTATTGGGGGCCCACTAGACAAACGTTGTCTTTTAATTTTGCCACCAAAAGATGTACAAATTCCCTAAAGATGCACAAGCAGTACTAGGGCTCCGTTATGCTTACATTATATGTAAGCATTTACAGATTTGGGCCCCTTAATTTGCATTCTTATTTTAGCTGCCCTAAGTATAGCAACCCAAACAAATTGTTCCTAACAGAAACAAGATTCTATTCTAGCACTGGCAGTGTTTATGTTATTAAGATAAGTAGTTTTAGGAAATACCATAGGGATAGATGGATGAGGTAGACATGCTGATGCACACCCATAGAGCCGTATAAATTAATAAATAATAATTGCTCTCTTAGTAACATGGTGAAGTTTGCCTGAGGCTATGCTATCTCACCTTCCTCAAGAGACATGCAGCAAAATGACATAATGCTTACCAACTTGTTTAGTGACATTGACCATAGCAGGTCTATGAGAGCATCAGTGTGAGACATGAGAAGAGGGCAATCAGCCATCATTGACATGGGGATTTTTAATTGATTTTAAATTAAGGTCACTGTCCCCAGGCCACAGCTAGATTCGATTATTTCTGGCATATCTCTGTGCATATATTTCTGACAGAAATATATGCGCAGCACTGACTTGGGGGGTCATGAGGGTTTTTGTAGAGGTCTGTGACCCAGTAAACTTTCATAATGTGCACTACACCTATAGCTAACATTGCTACTATCCCATTGATAATAGTTAACATCTTGTTTAACCATTCCATTCATCTCTTTTAATATTAGGTTTTATTGTTACAGTTTGTAACACCACCACAAACATCACTGCTTTCCATTCCCAGTATCTGAATAGAATATAACAATCTTCTATTACAGTGCAGGCTGTGTCCTTATATATGTTACACTGTGAAATACAACGTAATGTCCTCTCCGATTGTCCATTGAATGGTTGTAATTCCCTCAAGGGGTCTCCTTTAAATTCAAGCTCATAGTTTTAAAATATTTGGAGGAGGGAAGAAAAAAGAGACTGTCTCAACCCTATGTAATCTACCTAAGAACTATAGATGCTAGCTGTTATATTAACACCTTTTTATATATTCCTTGATTCCACAGCCATGGAATTTGCTGTAAAATCTACCCCTTGCCAAAGAATTGTGCTCCAGAATGTACATATTATTTATTTTTAAAATCATGGTTCTCGTGCAGCCTTCGTGCCTGTAAAGAAAACCTTGGAACTGTGAACCCAGTGTATGTTGGTGCAATGTTGGCTTCCTGTGAGTGCTGACAATCCTGAAACAATAGCTTCCCCACTCATCTCAATGGGGTGTTGATTCTGAAATCTAAATATTACAGTTTAAATGATTATCTGTTCCATTGCTGATCATTTTACTGAGAGCACCAGGTACTGTTCCCATCCCAAAGCCTTAAACTGTCTTCTCTGGAGCCAAAAGTCCCAACTATCCTCTACTCATCTACAAGACCCTCCTGCTTCCCCTCACAGCTTCCATAATGCAGTTATGCATTTCCAATATGTAATTCTGCATAATACAAAAAATTAAAAAGTTGAGGACAACACACAGTTAAATGGAATATCACATTAAATCACAAAGGCTCCTTCACTGAGTGTATTATTTATATTCATAGTTAATTGACCAAAACCCACCATTTTAAAATTTAAATGAAGCTACTGTTCAACTCAGGCCTGCTCCATCCGTGTGCTGTTGTATCCAGACATCATGTCACAGAATTTAGGTCAGCTTGCTGTAGTATACACGGGGCCTTGACTGTGGTGGTTGGTGCATCTGAAAAAAGTTAAGACAAAATGGGTAAAGGAAAGATTAGAAAAGCTGAAGAGAAAGGAATTAGTTACATTTATTCACATCTTCAAGGAAATTAGGCTATATAATATTCAAAGGTTTTATGGTGTCTAGTATTTCTTTCCATATCAACAAGTTCACTCATACTTTATTTATAATGATCTCTAGCTCAGCAGACTATATTTCTCTGTTATGAGAAGTGGTCAAGGAACTAGGATTTTCTCATCTAGGTTTGATAAATCTGCTAGGTCTACTTGTTCATGGGTTTTCCACCTAGGGGTGGTGACCCCTCTGCCCTTCCTATATTGCTAATAGGGAAGGAGGTCTCACTTACATCTACGCAGTTGCAGTTTGGAAAAATCCAAGAACCTCATGGTACTTGGTAATAAGTCAATATGTTTACTAGCAGGTGGGTTTGACCTAGATTCCTAAGGGGGAGTGGAGAAACATTTTAAACAAAACTGCACAAAGGACTAGAACAGGGGTAGGCAACCTATGGCATGTGTGCCAAAGGCGGCACGTGAGCTGATTTTCAGTCGCACTTGCATTGCCTGGGTCTTGGCCACCGGTCCGGGGGGCTCTGCATTTTAATTTAATTTTAAATGAACCTTCTTAAACATTTTAAAACCCTTATTTACTTTACATACAACAATAGTTTAGTTATATGTTATAGATTTATAGAAAGAGACCTTCTAAAAATGTTAAAATGTATTACTGGCACATGAAACCGTAAATTAGAGTGAATAAATGAAGACTTGGCACACCACTTCTGAAAGGTTGCCAACCCCTGGACTAGAAGATAGACTATAGGGGACACTCCTGCATTATTTGGGAGATGGATCAGATGACCTAGTAAGTCTTTCTCCCCTCATTAGTTCCAATGATGCTATGATAAAAGGGAGTGTTCTCCTTTAGTATTTCTAAATCCATAATCTATTTGATCTGAGTCCAATCAAAGATTTTGAAATGACATCATAAACTACAACTCCAAATTTGGAGTAGCTAGTTAATATCACCATAAACCCAGATGGAAATACAATCATTTATATAATGTACATTTAAAGGCATATTATGTAATATTAGACATGGATTTAGTTTAATGCTCAGAACCATCCAATAAGCTGCTAGTGCCACTAACAGCAATTTAAAGTATCTGAAAACACTTTAAAAATTGGGTTACATGATAACAGCTGGGCTGGGGGGAGTTCTGGGGATGGGGAATGAGGGTATAGGAGTTGCAGGGGAAAATGGGGGTGCAAAATAAAAACCACAGCGAGGGACCAAGGTAAAAAAATGTAGGGAGAGGGCACACTGTAGAAGCAGGGGAGCCTGGTCAAATATGGGACAGAGGAAAAACAAAGGGATCACAAAGTGCAGGGGTATAGGCCAAAACCCTCCTGTTAGAAAGGGAGAGGTCCTATGGCCTCCCCCTTCTCTAGCTGTTTATGAGGTTGTCAGGATTGTATTGTAAACCTTAGGGTTAAAAATCCTGTGACCCTTTCCAAGGTGCATAGTGTGTTTATTCGGTTGCTGACGATGGGCCACCTCTTACAACAGGATCCGTGGGGGCAGCAGACCCCAACCGAAGCCACTGGCGCCCCCGCGAGGAAGCCGTGGTCCCCTCCATGCAGATCCAGCTGCAGAAGGGGGCCCAGCACCTCCAGAGCGAGCTCTAAAGAGACGCGGAGTGGGGGTGCGGGGCAGGGGGTGGCGAACACCGCGACCAGTAACGCCCCAGCTTCCCCTTTCGCGTGGGCTCCTGGCCCCCGCCATCCCCCCACTCGCCAGTTTCCCCCACGCTCCCGTCTCTCCCAAGCGCCCCAGTTCCCCCCACACCCGCTGATTATCGCCACCCTCTCTACACCCCCCCCCCGCCGCCGCCTTTCCCTTCACGCCCCGATCAGCCCGCCTGCTCCCCCTTCTCCACCTGCTCCCATCACCCTCCGCCTCCCGCCCCGGCATTTCCCCCTGCACACGGGGCCGCCGCGGGGCCCTTCTCAGCTGGAAGCCGGGAGCAGAGGCAGCCCCGCGCCCCAGCCGCCAGCGGAGAAGGCGCCGGGGGCCCCGCTGCGGCTCCGGCGCACCCGCGTCGGGCATGCGCCGTGGCGGGCAAGCGAGCGATTTTGGGAGGGGAGGGAGACGTGACACTCCCCGGCATGTGCACCCGGGGGGGGGCGGGGACACTCCTCCACCCGCTGCCCCCCCCCCCCAGCCTCGCGTGGGGCGGGGCGGGGAGGGGGAGCGAGAGACGCGGCTCCCCAGCCAGCCGCGAGGACAGGGCGGGCGGGCAGCGCCGCGGCACGTAGAGTGGCTCGGCCACGCCAGTCGGGCGGCGGCGGCGGCGGCGGCTGACAGCGACGCAGGACCCCCCCTCCCGCCGGGCCAGAGCAGGCGCAGCCCTCCCCGCCCGTCCCCGGTCCAGCGGCGGCGTGACACCGACCGCGCTCCATGGAGCCCGGCTAGGGGCTCCCGCCCGCAGCCGCCGGGAGAGCCGGAGGTGAGCCGCGGAGCCCCGTGGGGAGAGCGCGGGGTGCGCAGGGACCCTGCCCGGCCGGGGTGTGTGTGGGCGGGGTGTGTGTGTGTGTGTGTGTGTGTGGGCGGGGTGTGTGTGTGTGTGTGTGTGTGTGTGTGTGTGGGCGGGGGGGGGTGTTGCTGAAGGGTGACCCCCGCCCCCTCCCCCGGATATATCCGGCTACCAGCGGGAGCGGGCGAGTCCGCACGGTCATCCGTGGGAAGGTGACATGAGGGGTGGGAGGCGGGGTGCAGCCGGCTGACAGGTCGCTGGAGCCGCCCGGGGAGGAGGAGGAAGCCGGCGGCTTGCAAAGCCCGCGGCGGGGCTGGACCGGCTGCCCCCAGCCCGGGCAGCCGCCGGCACCGAGAGGCTGCGGTGCGGGGTTTGCCACAGACAAGGGGAAAACGGGGCGGGGGGATCGGAAGCAGAGTGGGGTTTTTTGGGTGGTCGGGGGGGGGGGGGTGATTGGCGCAGCCGGGCGGTGTGAAGGGAACGGGGTTGGTGCTGGAGGAAGGAGGCTGTTTGCGCTGCTTGTTGGCGCTGATTTGCATCCAGCGGAACAATGCTAAAATTGCCTTTTGGTAGGTGATGGGAGGGATTGTTTGTTGGGGGCATCCGTCTCCTCTTAGATTTGTGGCTGGGAGAATGAACTGGGTTGTTCTATTTATTTAATTTATTTATTTATTTGAAAAGCGATGTCTGCTCCCTGCGGCTCCAAGGAGCAGGGCTTGCTGTGAACTTGTATTTTCAAGGGTTTTGCAAAATACCTCCCCGCACCCTAACTACGTGCGCGCGATAGCACTCAGAATTGGCTCTGCGATATGCACTTCGGGAGCCTTATAATAAACATTCTTAGATTCTGGGAAATAATCAAAACGTGGAAGATATGAAGACCCCAGGTATAAAGCAAACACACAGAGAATTGTGGTATTATTTCTCTTGCCTTAGCTACATTTCTAGCCACAACTCTTCTCAATAATATTGGCTAACACAAACCAATCCTGCATCTGATGTGGCTTTTCTAGCTGAAAGAGTTGATTTCATATACATTTGTTGTCAACCATGACTGTTGTGTCACATCGCACTGAATGAGGTCTGAATGTTTAGTGAAATGAAATCTCATCACAGTTGCTTTTTAGGGTTAGAAATGTTGCCAAACAGCTGCTGCTTTGTGTTTCAATTGTCGAGGTCCCAGGAGTGGATTTTGGACACAGTAAGAGAGAGATGGTTTGTAAACATTGAAGGAAGGGGAAGAGCATATACATGTACATAGAGTGCCTCTTTACAAAACTTTTAAAAATAATTATTGGGGTTCTGGAGTGGAGAGCTTTGCATGTGTGTGAGAGAGACATAATTTAGATGAAGTGGTCCGATTTTTACAATAAACAAACACTTCCCAGTTATCAGTGGTTCAAATACTTGCATCAGTGAAGTAAATGAAAGCCAGAGAGAAATTAAAAAAATATTGTGTATATTTAAAGGTTGGCAGTAATGTGTTATGTAGATATTTTTCACAGTCAGTAGTGAAACACTTGGAAGATTTATGGTTCAAAAGTTGCATCACTTCCTTTCTCATTGTTCAGATTCATAGAGAAGGTTGCCAAGAAGATAAATTGTCACCTGTGTTCTTTGTTATCTACAGTAGATAGAGGTAATTGTTTCTTCTGGACTAGGTAATTATGGGTTATGTGCCACTAGTGTCACAGTAGTGAGGTTTGGATGCACATCATCTTGGCTTTTTAAGAATATGTAAATATTTTACTAAAGAAGTTTTACATGAACCAAATGGTATTGTGCAGAGTCTGAGTGTTCAGTGATGGAGATAAATAGATACCAGCCTTTTAAGAAAAGATGTTTTTGATTAGGTTTTTTTTTTTTTTTGCAGTTGTTTACATTAGTTTTCTCAGGTTAGTCTCAGTATGAATAAATTTTTTTAGAAGAAAATCTTCCTTAAAATACAAGAAAAATGCAGTGAGGTAAATTGTAATCTGTAATTTTAATTCTAATGTATTAGTTTGAGAGGAAAGAGCATTTGGTTGCTGAAGTATTCCTGGATTTTTCTGTATTAACCCTTATTTGTTTAGATCACAGTTTCTCTTTTTCATTGTTACCTCTTTAATGTAGCTTATTCTCTAGGGAAATGATTTAAAATAAATTTGAAAATAACAATATATTTTTCCCTTTGGCAACTGGCAAGAACATGTTTAATTACTAAAATAATATAGAACGCCGGAGTAGTCCCAGCAATACAATTATATATGGCAGTGGTTCTCAAACTTATTTGATCGGCCCCCCCTTTTTTGTGTCTTTAATCATTTATGGCCCCAACCCCAACAGTATATATACTGCCACCCAGCTCTGAAGGCAGAGCGGAGAGCAGTGGCTGCTGGCTGGGTGCCCAGCTCTGAAGGCAGTGCAGTGCCAGGAGTGGCACTGAAGTAAGGGAGGCAGTGTGAAAAGTGATATTTGTCACAGCACTTTTCACAGGAGACTTAGCACCCCATTGCCACCCATACTTCTGCACTGGTGCTGCTGCCACCACCCTGGGGGCTGGTAGTTGGAGCCCCACCACCTTCAGGTGAGGGATTGGAGGAGCGGAGGGAGGAGAGCTGGAGCCTGGGCTGCCTCCCAGTGAGGGATTGAGGGCAGTGGGGGGGAGGAGGCGAGCCCAGGTAACGGGGCTCTGGCTGTCAACTCTGTGGTGGCGGGGCTCCAGCTGTCCCTTTATCCCCACCTCCCAGGCATGTGTGGCCCTTCTGCATGAGCTCCAGCCACCTGGGGTTGACAGAGCTCTTAAAAAACCAACCAACCAACCAACAAAAAGCACACAGCTCCCTTGCCCCTTTCCCACGCCTCCCTGGGAGGCCTGTCCCAGCCGCTGATATATAGGAAGTAAAATCAGAATGCTTCCTTTTTCTTTTCATTTGATATATGAATTTGGGGAGTTCTCCTCCTCCTGGAAAGAGAGACATCAGTGGCAGTGACTGCAACTAGACACTATGGGCTGAATAGATACCTGGGGATCGGGTCCAATAAGATGCAAATACGATGCACATTTTCCCACAGACCGCTCTCAGTGCAGTTCATTAATTACTTCTAGCACTCTTGATATTTTGTCCTTAGAATCTCTGATCAATTTCGTGGTGGTTTTTTATGGTAAGAGCAAAGCTCCATGTGGGGTCTCATTGAATGAGCAAAACCTTGCCTCCCCCAATGTAATCTGCTCTTTTTATTTTATTTTATTTTAAATCTCCTTTCTTTGAAGCATGAGAAATGGCCACAACGGGAAATGGGGTGGCACCAGGCATTCACTCTCCGGTGGTTGGCTGGCTGGTTCTTGCTGACGTGCTCCAGGTCTAACAGATCATCATATATGGGGTCAGGAAGGAATCTCCCCGCCCCCAGTCATGTTATCAGTGACCTTGGGGTTTGTTTGTTTTTTGCCTTCCTCTGTAGCTTGGGATGCAGGTCACTTGCCAGGATTATCTGGGCATATCTCACTTAATCATTTCCCTGCTATTGAGAGGGTGTCAGGCACTGGTACACTTCAGTCCCTCCCATTCTCGGGCTGTGGCACTTAATAATGTAGTCTCCTCTGGGCTGTAATACTTTGGTCTGATTTTGGTTGTTGGATTTAGTGTATGGGTGCTGGGTGGGGTTGATGGCCTGTGATACACTGGAGGTCAGACTAGATGATCTAGTGGTCTCTTCTGGCCTTGAACTCTGACTCTAAACCCATTTTTACCTTGCAATGTGGCTGAAGCCAAATTTGAACATGAGGTAAATGCTAGTAAATTAAGCTAGAGCGACATTGAGCTTCCATTTATGTATATAAAATTCTGAAACAGCACCAGTAAAAAGATCTGTCTGAGTCTGACTGCATCAAGAACCTCCAGAACTATGATTTTTCCAGGACACTCAGACTCTGCACAATACCATTTGGTTCATGTAAAACTTCTTTAGTAAAATATTTACATATTCTTAAAAAGCCAAGATGATGTGCATCCAAACCTCACTACTGTGACACTAGTGGCACATAAGCCATAATTACCTAGTCCAGAAAAAACAATTAACTCTATCTACTGTAAATAACAAAGAACACAGGTGACAATTAAACTGCCTTCTAACGAGAACACAAATGATAAGTATTATAACTTGCATGGATTGCATTAAAAGTAGAGTCTCTAGGATAAAGTCATTGGAGCTGGTTAGATGAAGGCATAGAATCCGTGTTAAGAGGGTGGATCTGAGCAGGTTGCAGCTTCAAGAGGCTAGAATCGTCAGTGAACAGCCATTTGAAACTCATGCTTGATTAGCGCTCAGAGTAATATGGATTACAGTAGAAAAGGTGTGTCCATATGTAATGAAGAAGATTGACCCTGTGGTCTGGGGCACAGGAGATTTTGGTTCAATTTCTGGCTCTACCACAAAGTTCTTATGTGGCATTGGGCAAGTCACTTAATCAAAATAGATAAAACAGACAAAGGGTGAGGGAATTGTGGCACAGAAAGCTTATCAGCTTTTCAGGGCAGGGACTCTCTCACTCTGTGTTTATAAAATGCCTAGCACAATAGACCTTGATCTTGTTTGGGGCTTCTAGGCATAACTGTAATGCACATCATAAATAGTAATGTAACAAAAAGGTGGCCAACAAATGGTACCTCGAGAGTTTCCTATGCTGTCATCTCTGTAAATCAACAGAGAATGGAGGTGGAAGCAAGCACCTCTCTTGGAATAACAACAGGCTTCTTATTTTAGCATGGAAAAGAGCCAGAGATAGGGAGGTTGTTGCTGCCTTGCTGGTCAAAGTAAAACAGAAGTCTTGCTGAAAGAGTAATATTTTCACTTGGGTACCAGAAGAGCAGAAAAACTAGCTCTGGACTTAAAGACAGAAGGCTAAAGTAGCAGTTTGCTTCCATGAACATACAAATGATTGTAATTAGGCCCAGACCCTCTTAAGTGACACATGGGTTTATTTATTTCAG